CTGCCAAACTGCAAACTTTTCAAAAACCCCTCGTAACCTGATAACCACTCAACATATCAAGATGCGGTTTTCACCAGTCAATTTCTCTTGATAATTGAGGCTCGCAAGTGGGGGTCAGATTTTTTCTAGCTCCTCTAGAAATACCCGGAACCACTCAAACCCATCGAATCTTGGACACCCTGTACCGTGCATTCAATTTATCTTGATAACATTTTAATTCGCTGTAACTTTTTTGTTTTTGAAGGTATCAAGGTAAACAAAAAAACAAAATGTAGGGTTGGTAGCCAAGTTTTTTTTCAAGTTACCTTTAAAACAAAACACTATCAATTTTATGACATATGAGCCTACATTATATTTTTTCAAATGGAACACCCTGTATATTATATATGCGTTTGATAGAATATCTTATTTCGATTACAATGATATAACACATGATATTTAGTCCACTCGTTTTTGACAAATCGGCAAAAATATGATATTTTTATATGCACTATCAATGATTCTCTCCCCAAATATCAGATCGCCGCCTAATAAGTTTCACTTCAAAAGTTTCATATATTTTTGCCGATTTGTCAAAAACGAGTGGACTAAAATATGGAGTGTATTATATCATTGTAATCGGAATAAGATATTCTATCAAACACTAATATAATATACAGGGTGTTCCATTTAAAAAAATATAATGTTGGCTCATATGTCAGAAAATTGATAGTGTTTTGTTTTATAGGTAACTTGAAAAAAAACTTGGCTACTAACCCTACATTTTGTTTTTTTATTTACCTTGATACCTTCAAAAACAAAAAAGTTACAGCGAATTAAAATGTTATCAAGATAAATTGAACGCACGGTACATTTTGGAAATAAAAATTCTATTCTATTTTATACAAAATAGTTGATAAAAAATTATCAAGACGACTGACAGCTAAAAATAACGAAATGAATCGACACGTGTTATTTATTATTTGAAAATGTTTATATAAATCGATATAAATCATGCAACGTCGCGCGCCGTTGCCAACCAAAAACATCTGAAATTGCCCTACTTTGAATGCGTTGAAAAGTACTTTTAGTTTTGTTAGGTTGGCAACAGAAATTTACTAAATGTGACGCTCGATGTGACGTCATCCTAAATATAACGTAAAAGGCCTATATCTGAGCGATTTTTCAGAAATTTTACCGTTTTCAAAATAATGAATTTATCCGTTACTTTATGGACACAGTGTATAATTTCTCTAAGGGAAATTTTCTACTTTTGTACCATCTTGTTAAAAATCATAATTGGGCAGAATTGTATACAATGACAAATGTAAATGATAGTTTGAAATATTTCTATGATCAAATGTATGGTTTTTTGGACATCTCTATGCCGTGCCTAAACAACAGATTAAGAGCTCTTGTGGTAAACCTAGATTTCCCCTATGGTATTCCGTGGACTTAATGAATAGGGAACTTTACAATTTTTTTTTTATTTTTTTATATCATTTATTTATGCCTTGAAAGAGTATTTCCCAAATATTATTTCCTAAAGCTCAATAATAACTTGGTGAAAAATGTTTAAAGTTTCGCGCGAATTAAAAGCATTTCAAATGACCTTAAATGCGCGCGAATCTGGATGACGTCACGTAGTATGATTTTGCTTTAAGCCGGCGCCACACGATGTGTCCAACCATTGGCCCCAATGTTGGATCCAATGTTGGGTACAGTGTTTTTTACTCTAGCATTCGGCAAATGTATCCGATGAGCGCTCGGCTACACGATGCCACAAATCGCGCTATGTCCAACGTTGGAAGGCATTCGACACATCGTGTGGCGCCGGCTTGACCTTGTCGTCAAACGTCATAAAGTGCGTTTTTTTTTTTAAAGATAAAAGTCAAAATGACATTATGTTGGCAATACAATGTAAAATTGTCACGGCTTTCAAATTTTTTATGTAGAAAAAGCTTGTGTTGCCAATATAGTTACTAATAGTCCGGGAGGCAGTAAAATTTTTTAGCACTTATTTTCCCAGTTGGTGTATATTAAATAGTTTGTTCTCTTGGTGATACAAAACAAGAATATTTGAGTTTCGCAAAAATTTTCGGATGGGTTCACTAGATCAATGAAAAATACAAGTACACTTATTTTCCCAGTCATAAATATTTCACATCCACTACAATAGAACATAAAGTATATGAACATAGCAATTTGGCTTATCTCAGATAGTGGAAAGTTAGTCTGGCTGAAGTTTTTCAGATCTTGAATTTTTCACTTGCCAGACATATTATCCATACTCACAAATTAGCTGCACTATTTTTTTACGTAACTTCAGTATACTTCTGATTAGTTGACTTAGTTTTATGACTAGAAAAAAAAGGGCTTTGCATTCGTAAGCTTTAACGCATTTTGCGCCTCAACCCATCGGAAAACCCCCCCTGAAAATATATGAATTTTGCTTAGAATTACTAACCCTACAATTCTATCCATGTTTCGTGACTGGGAAAATAAGTACCGAAAATCGTCACTGCCTCCTAGACTATAAATTTTTGACTTGGGGAATTATCTTTAAAAAAAAACGCATTTTACATTGTATTTAATTTGGTTGATTTCCACATTTTCCACCGTTATTTGTTTTGTTGTTGTTTTGTGTTGCGGTGAGTTGTAAATTTTGAAGTTACAATGAAGAAAAAGATTCGCACATACTTAAAAAAAATACTTTTGATACCATAAACATATCACAAATTGTCAGATTGCCCTTTGGAATTTCCTTTTTCGGTCATAATTAAAAGGTATATCATTTTATAATAATATAATGCTGAGCTAATCATTAAATTTACGCCAAGTAAACCAATTCTAATGAATGATGAAATTTTAAAAAATTAGAGAAAAAAGTGGATAAACACAGCTAATGGGTATTTATTATGTAGAGTTCGAGCTGCTGTTTTGTTCTTTTATCCCTGTTCTTCTCATTATAAGGAAAAAAGACGGAAAATGCTCCGAGCGCTCAGTGTTTCAAGACGAACTCACAGTATGATGGACGGTTGCTGACAGACACTGACAGATCATACTAGATGACGTCACGACCAGTACCAGAGCGTTTTTTCCCGCTGGAAATAATTTGAATTTTTCCGCATTTTTAATTCCTTATTGTGGCTGTTTGCGACAAAAAAAAAATTGTTTTTTTCGCTGATATAGGTTTTAATTAATGTATTTTTATGATTTATAGTAATATTTTCATGTTTAAATTTTTTGTCAAGTTCCCTATTAGAGAAAAAAATAAACTGCATCTCAAAAAAAACCATTGTGCGATTATTTCAAAAACCTAAAGTCTGTTTTTTTTTAAAGATAATAATTCCTCAAAAATTTAGTAACTATGTTGGCAACACGAGCCTTTTCTACATAAAAAAATTTGAAAGCATTGACAATTTTACATTGCATTTCCAACATAATGCCATTTTGACTTTTATTTAAAAAAAAATAAAACAGACTACACTTTATTTTTTCCCAAGATAGATTTTGACATTGAAAACTTTGAAACATAAACAATAACTCTTGACCCTGATTGGTCGCAAAATCAGGTGTTTCTGCAGGTTGACATCAGTTTTACAATAGCGACCAATAAGCGGCATTAGCGGTATTGTTTAGGCACAGCATGTTTAGGTTTCAAAGTTGACAATACCAAAGTCTATCTTGGAAAAAAATAAACCATAGAGTAGCATCAAACTTCAAACAGGAAGTGAGTACAAAGCATACCAGAAAAATAATACTCCGATCAATTTAAACATGCAAGGGTAGGTATAAAAATTCCCATAGAGCTGAAAATTGGTATGAATGTTCGGAACACCATTATAAATAAATGCTAAAAAGTCCCCATCGATCCAGTACCTGGAATTTTTTTAATTTAGGGTCAATGGTCTCAATAATGGGTTTTTCGCATTTTTGAGCAAAACGGTAAGTTTTTTCCTCGGTTTTTTCATTTCATAAAATTAGCTCAGACAAAAATTGTAGATCATATTTATCTACAGTGTGTCCCGCTTAAGGACCACCCTTTTGAAATTTTTATTTTTCAACTGATTCAATTCATTTTTTTTTTTCTTATAGCTACTCGAATTTGCCACTTACTTAGTTGTTTAAAAAACTATTATAAAACAGCTGATTGGCTTTCAAAACCAAATTTGATAAGTACTCAATTACCACATGCAATTCAACATCTTCTGCAACATTGATTTCAATAACTAGGATTTCAAACTTCAAAAAGTACCTTTCTTAAAAACAAAACAAACCATGTAATTTGCTGTTTTAATGATAACCTTGTCGATAAATAATTATAATAATATTCTATTCACTTGTTCTCAACTTTCTAGCTCATGAAAACTTGTTTCTTAATCTTCTAGAAACACAAATCATGAAATCGATAAACAATTTCAAAATCCTAATTTCGAGATGAAATTGATTCAGGGACAACTCGACTGCATAAAAAATAAACAAAAACTTCTCGAAGGCTGCGATGATGAAACAGATTATTTATTTCCTCTATTAATAGAAATAGCTGCAACTCACATAAATCTCAATTAAAACACTGATTATATAAATATTATAAACAAAGGATCCGAATGGGTGTCGTTTCTACAAGGCAAAATGCGACATTGAAATCAAAAACGAAATTTATCAGAGGTAAAGATGCCCTCTCAGAAACAAATTACAACTATAATTAACTCCTACTTACTGTAATCTGGGGGCCATCGTGGAAATAAACGGGAAACTCCCTTTTTCTTTATTCTAAACGAGAAAACTGAATTTACGTGGCAAATTGTACAAATTTTATTGAATTTTCGAGGATCACGTCAACTTGCAGCAAGGAGAGCTTGTAGCCATGTTAGAACTAGAAAATCCATATTACACTGTACAAATTCCGAGATTTTTATTTTCAAAATCTTCGCCCCCGGGCCTTATTCACCAACCCACAATATTAACATTTAAGAAATAGAACTTTAATTAAACAAAATAGTAATTAATAAACTTACTTTTGGTTTGGTTTCATCGAAATATCACTCACAAAAACATATGATTGGATAGGCACCATGATGGAAGTCTCTAGAGAAATGAAAATGATAAGCCAGTTTTACAAAAAATAATGGTATTTGCGCCACCTCGTGTACACAGTAAACATTAAGTTTAATTTTGCTACTCAAACTTAGAGGGCGCTACAAAAAAAACTAGATTACAGTGACTAAATAAACCTTTACATACCAGGTGTCCCACTAAGGCCGGCCAGGTTACAGTGGCTAAATAACATACAGTGGCGACAATAGAGGTCCCGCCGCCATCTTGTTCCCAACCTCTTGTTACTTTTATATATTTATTTATAGGATTTTTAATAATTTAAATGAACAGCCAGCATAAAAAATTGAAAACGGCGTAAGGTAAACGCCCCTAGATAAAATTTTCGTAAATACAGTTATCGACACCATATTTTACAAACCATTTAATTAGGCATTCCAGGTCACGTGACTTTTGACAGGTCCGCTGGGGGGCAAACAAAGCCTAGATCAGTATTTACACCGTTCTTTTTTTTTTTTTTTTGAAAATCGTTTATTTCTTAAATCATTCATTACAATAACAATAATACAATTTCTCTAAACAGTGCCTGTAAGCACTGGTCTTGAGAAAATAATCTCAGTTTTTGTTTACCTTATGTCTAAGTGTTGCTTAAGCTTTTTTACAAATGTATTGAAATTTCTTACATTTTTAATTTCTCCAGGTACCTTATTATAAGATTTGGAAGCTCGGACTATTGGATTATTGAGACCTGCTATATTAGTTTTAGTTACAATTTGGTAAATATCACAGTTGGTTCTGGTATTATAGTGGTGTACATCATTCGATAAAATAATATTAATATTGCTCTTCTGACTTTGTTTTAATATTTTATGCATAAGTTTATCCTGCTCGAATTCATATATTTTAATTATCGGACTTATGTTTAGCTCTTCATATAATATAGCTGAATTTGTGAGTCTGTCAAAATTGAATAAAATTTTCACAACCGTATTTTGCAATGTCATAATCTCATTAATATGACACTGGGCACTAGATCCCCACACGGGAATAAGATATCGCAAGTGAGGCAGAACGAAAGCATTATAAACATTATATTTAGATTTTTTTGTTAGATAGTGTCGGTGCTTAAATAATGCAGGTATAATTGGAAGAATTTTTTCGCGCATGTAGTTTATATGCATTGACCAAGTAAGTTTATCATCTACAACCAAACCAAGATATTTGATATGGGTAACCTGTTCAATAGAAACATTGTTTATTTGAATAGATATGTTTTCGGTTATTTTATTTTTTTGCTTAAATATTATATATTTTGTCTTATCACCATTAATTTTTAATTTGTTACAGTACAGCCAGTGCATATATTTCTTTAAATCAGCATTAACTTCAAAGCATAAATTATTTTCGTCACTCCCAGTATAAACCAATACCGTATCGTCGGCAAAGGTAAAATATCTGGCATTTACCCTAGAGTATTTTAAGCTTAAGACATAGAGGGAGTACAACAGGGGACCTAGTACAGATCCCTGAGGCACTCCACTTCTGCTAATCAAAAATTCACTACTATATTTTTCTAGTTTGACATATTGTTGACGATTAATAAGATATGTTTCTATTAAACCATGTATAGCTCCCCTGAAACCCATATTACTTAGCTTTTCCAATAACAAATTAATGTCTACAACATCAAATGCTTTCCTTAAGTCAATAAAGACTGCCACCACAAGCTGACTCTTATCTAAAGCCCTAGAGATGAAATCAACAAAATCCACAGTTGCACTTAAGGTATTGCTATTTTTTATAAAGCCATATTGATACTTATCAATTTCTATAAACTTTTCAATAAATGACAGCATCCTCTTTTTCATTATTTTTTCTAATATTTTGGAAAATACACTAAGGACAGAAATTGACATTGTGTTTCCGAATTTTTGCGTTCTTAAATTCTCTCAATAAGTTTTAAGTTGTTTTTGTGGTAGAATGGCTAACATTGACTATTATTCATCGTTAGCTAGTGATGTGAAATGTCGGTATGACCAAAAAATACAAATAATTGCCAATATAGATCCTTATAAACTTCTACCTAATGAGTTTACTTTAAGTATCAATGAGTTGCCAGAGGTTTCAATTTTGGATTTATCCGAATATTTGACCCACACCCACAGTTACTACACAGGCTTGCAGTTGAAGGCGTATATAAAGGGTTATTCAAGTTCTGCTGGACTACCTAAAAGGTATTAAAAGTAAATATTACTTGTATAGAAACAAACCAATTTTTCAATATAAATTTGTTTTTGTATTTTAACAAGACAGTCATAATACTTACCATTAACAAAATGTTTTGAACAAATACGAGCATTTTTCAGAAACGATTCAGTTAAATCTCTCCTTTTGAGGCATTTAATCCACAGATTTCGTCGTTCCTTTTTTAGCTCGTTTAGACCATTCCCTAGATCTCTTAATGCTGCTGGGATCCTGAAAAACCTTTCTTTATCTCTTTCCGCTCTACTAGAGCACCTAACAACGCAGCAAATAGAAGGCATCTTCACAAAATAGATTGAAAATTCTTGGTTTAACATTGAATCAGGTTATGTTTGGCTTTTGTGTGCCCCCCAAACTAATATGGCGGATCGGTTATCAATCATTAACCTGGAATGCCTAATAGGTAATAGGTATGTACATTTTAATGTCGATGATAGAATTAATTAAATTAAATTCTTTCAGCTTCAAAAGCTCACTCACAATACTTCGAAGAGGCGATGAATCAGGCAGTAAGCAGTAAAGCAGTGCAATCGGGAAAAATGTCCGCATTTCGGTCTCATTTATTTATTTATTTATTTATTTATCAATCAGACATCAACAACCAGGGGCCAATTACAGACATCCACTTAAGACTAACAGTAACATAAAGCTTAACAATACACTTAAAAGAAATAAAGACATGTATTAAACACTAAAACATTTTTACTAAAACTAAACAATACATAATTAAAATGGTTGGTTATAATCAAATCTGTACAAAACACAAACGTCCTAAATCTCATCCCGCAGTTTACTATCAATTAGTTTTTTAAACTTTTCAATATTTATCATGTCTATATCAATACCTGAAGCATACCGATTAAAAACTGAACACATTCTAAAAATAGGTGAGTTCTTGTACAGATTGGTTCTGGGAAACGCTAAATAGAAACTGTTTGAATTCCGAGAATTAATTCTATTTATCGCAAATGGCAACTGGCCAAGAATATCAGGACCATCAATTTCACCCTTCAGCAACCTAAACATTGTGCAAAGAATTATTTTAAATCTACTTTTCTCCAATGACACTCTTCCAAAGACACCCAACAAATATTCATTACTACAACCTCTTTGTTGGTAGAATCCATATTTTCTAAAATAAAGAGACTATAGAAATTTCCTTTGCACCCCCTCAATAATCGTAATCCACACATCATATTGAGGGGACCAAATTACAGAACCATATTCCAATATAGGCAAAACTAAGCTGTCAAAAAGATGTAAACTTATGTCTATGCCAAAGTCTCTAGTGTTTCTTGTAATAAATCCTGCTACCCTCTGAGCACTTTCAATTTTTGCAAGAATGTGATCAGTGAAAGTGAGATTCACGTCAAAGATCAGACCTAAATCTTTTTGTTTGTCAACTCTTTCAATTTTAGTATTATTGTAAGTGTAATCATACTGATAAGAGTTTTTATTAAGGGTAAATGACATACACTTACATTTACTCACATTTAGATTAAAGCTATTCGCAGTACCCCAATTAGATACATTACAAAAGTTATTTTGAAGAGTTTCACAATCCTCGATGGAATTTATTAAGTGAAAACATTTGAAATCGTCCGCAAACAGTAAGCCCTTGACGTCTTCAAGATTGCCCATGATACCATTTATAGCTGCTAAAAACAGAAGAGGGCCAAGATTACAGCCCTGGGGTATCCCTGATGTGCTCTTGTACACAACAGATTTAGATCCTTTGATTTCTATATATTGAAATCTATGGCTAAGATAGGATTGTAATAAATAAAATAGATAAGATGATACATTCATATCGTTTAGGGCTTTTAAAATTACGCAGTGCCTCACCTTATCAAACGCCTTCTCCATATCTGTGAATATTACGTCAACTTGTGACTTGTCATTTATTGCATCATGAATATATTGACAAAATGTGATTAAGTTGGTGTAAGTTGACTTTTTAGGAAAAAAACCATGTTGGCATGATGTTATTTTGCCCGAAATTTCACTATACAATCGATCAAAAATAATTATCTCGAAAACTTTAGAGATTGCACATACAATTGAGATAGGATGATAATTTTTTATGTCTTTCCTGGCACCAGCCTTGTAGACAGGTATAACTTTGTTGTTTTCCATTTATCAGGGTACACAGACGTTTTCAAAATAAAATCAAATAGAAATTCAAGAGGCAACGCCAAATATTCACTGCAGCCCTTTATGATATAAGCAGGTACTCCATCAGGACCTATTGCTTTGTTACCCTTAATCTTTATGATAGCCTTTTGAATTTCAGTCATCTAATCAAATTGTCGCAGAAGTGCGACTTTACAGGAAATTTACTGCAAGTTACGTCAGTATCATCAATAAAAACTGATTTAAAAAAATCCGCGAAGCCGTTAGCAATGTTTTGAGGTCCAGTGTACGTTTTGCCATCAGAAATCATTTCCTGAAGAACATCTGGATGATCCTTAAGGCCTTTTACATATGACCAAAAGAATTTAGGGTTTGATTTTAAACTAATTTTTACGTCATGCAGATATTTAGAGTAGGCTAATTTCATTTTGTCTTTAATTCTGTTCCGTAGGCCCACAAATTTGGACCTCCAGTAGTTTGATCTGTATTTTTTTGATTTCAGAAAGTACTTATGCTTTTTTTTAATGAGTATAATAATATGTCTATCAAACCATACAGGATATTTCTTATCAATTTGGGTGGACTTAGGAACACATCTTTCAAAAATGTCCCCCAGAATAGTGTAGAAGGCGTTTATG